ATTACATCAATTGAAGTCTGTAGTAGGGGGCTTGGGGAGAGGCTGCACATCATCATAAGCCAATCAAGGCAGCAATAAATTACAATACAACAATTAAATGGTTACTACTACGGCATACATCTTTTAAAATTTTTTTCTTTTCTCTTTTTTCCTTTTTTGCTTTTCTATGGGGACGTGGCTGGTGTGTTGAAAGGTGTTGGATTTAGGCAAAGGGTTTATCATCAAAACAACTTATGACAAGGAGCTTAAAAAAAAAAATTAACATTAAAACAAATATTTAAAAATTATTCATTACTAGAAAAACTTAGTTCTCATTTAGAAAAACTTAGTTCTCATTATTGGATATTGGGATTTTAATTCAAGGCGGAAGACGAAACTTTAGTCAAACAGAAGTAAACTTACGGAAGACTTAAAATTAACCTAGACTTTGAAGATACTTAGAGGAATGAATTCTTGCGAGATTGTTGAACATTTATATTGTCAAGGCCTAGAATAGAGGTTACTTGGATTATTTAGAAGTTTTTTTTAGTTTGAATTATGGGAATAAGAATCATTATCAAAGAAATTGAATAAGTTGAAGTATAATTCTAGGAATGAAGAAATTAGCGGAAGATTGATTGAGGTTTAGTATGAAGTGAAGAATGATTATGAAGGTTGAAGATACTTGGAATCAAAGTTTGAAGGTGTGGTAATTTTTAATTTAAGTTGGGGGAGGCAAGTCACAATTACGGCAGTTTGTTTTATTTAAGTTGGGGGAGGTGGTCAACAATTGATTTTTTCATGCACAAATTTCATTTCAAGATTTTCTGTGGCGCTGAGGACAGCTTAGAAGTTGGGGGAGGATGTGGAAATCAAAACATGTCTACTTTTCATATTTTCTAAAGACCTCATTTTCTTTTTGAAACTCAAAGTTTTCTTTTATTGAATTCAGATCATCTTTAACATCATAGTTTAATTCTACATTTTATCTTCAAGATCATTTTTTTATAAACTTGGGTTTTTTCATTTTTTCATTTTGGATCAATTTTAATATACACAAATCAATTTACAATTAGGTTATTACAATTCAGTTTCAAACAATTCCTTCAGTTTATTTTATTTTATTTCAAGATACTCAATCAGAAAACATCTTAAAATATTATAATCAAAAGAGAAAAGACAACATTAAATAAAATGGAAGAAATACATAGCAACAATTAATTAAATTAAATCAAAATTAAATTGAAGTAACTTAGCTAGTACAAAAGGAACTAGAAAGAAACACAGATGCGAAATTACTTACAAATCATAATTGAAAGATCCATCAAAAGAAGCTCAACATTGAATCAAAGGAAAGGAAGATTGGTTGATTAGAGTGAGAGAAAGTGCCGAGAAGTTACTAAAATCAACTTAATTAAACAAGTCTATTACATCTAATCTACTAGCTAGATCATTAGAAGGCCTGAAGTTATTCTACCTGAAGGAATTGCAGTAACTATGAGAATCTCTCTATTTACGCAAAGGGAGTTGGCGTTTGAATTCTCGTTTGACACAATTCAATTGGAATTTCATCGCCGCGTGACATGCGACACAAGTAATTGCCAAATCCAAATTGCAATTCCGTGATTGTCCAAATCCGCGTTAGGAATAAGCGTGTGCACGCCGGTGATTCCTGGACCCGCGAAGTTTGTCGTTTGCCGGCACCGGCAATTAAAGTCCCGAGGAGCGAAGTTCCGGCCCCGCTCCTGGCTCGAGGTTACAAGGCAGAGTGTCCACAGGGCGCAGTAACTTTGCCACGTGATATTCCCGGCTCCATGCAAAGTTCCGTGGTGATACACACTGCCTGGAATTATAACACATCCATTGCCGCGTGATCACGTTGATCGGCGGCAACATTTACTAAGTTGAGTGATGACCGTCACAGCGGCTCACAGCGCCAATGTATACGACAGATAAGGCAGCGTGATGTGTCGGATATTTGTCATCCGAGTTCTCTGAGGGGACCCTGCTAATGACGAACCGCTGATGGCCTCGGATGTACGCGCGATGGCCACAGCGGAGTATCCCAAAGGCGACTGACGGCGACATTGCACGGCGTGGATCGCGTGTGGCCTCGTCGACGCTGAAAGCGTCATTGGTATCTGCCTAAGCGGTTGCACATTGATGGATGTCCACATGAAATAAGGATTTGTCTTTGAGGCGACGAGGAGGTGGAACAGCAAAGAGCAACGAGTAGTGAGCATGGCATCGCAGCGGCCCTCCAAACCTCGCAAAACTGCAAGTTCGCACCCTGACGGCAACTATACCTTCTCTGAAGACAGCGCGAGTATGACGTTGTGGTGATCAATTTATGGGATCAATTAAAAAATTCACAATTACCAGTTTACCAGTTTATTAGCAGGATTCAGCAGGAAAGAAAAATTCGAAATGGAGGTTTTTGATCAATTGAAGCTCTTGTAGGCTTATGTATTGGTCATTAGGTCAACATTACATCATTTTATTTCACATTATATATTAAGATCATTATAGTTTACTTACAAATTTATTACAAAAAGAAAGAAAGAAAAACATAAGAAAAATTCGAAATTATAGGTATAAAGGTTGGAAAATGGTTTTTAGGTTAGTAAAAATAAAGTTATGGGTATTATGAGGTTAGAATATGAAAGAACAACATTATATGATTTTATGACAATTTTAATCTTCAAGGTTGATAAGTAGAAACAGAAGTTATTAGGAAAAAAGCACTTTTTCGAAGTTGGTAAACAAGAGGTACACGTGTAGTTTGGTTGTGTAATAGTGGTAGTGATGGAATTTAAGGTTGCCAAGAGGATTTTCCGGGATTTTTAAGGCTATAGATGATGATGTCATATTACATGAGCAAGAAAAAGATAGTAGTAGCTGTGAAAAGTGAAGAAAATGGGTGAAATTTGTGGAAAATGGAGGTTTTCAGCTAATTACATATGTCAAATGACGTCAGAATAGGTTGGTAGAGGGCTCATTCAACGCAGAAGAGTGGATTACATAATGTACAAACTGTAAATCATTAGTAACGGAGGTGTGTGTAAAAAGTTATAAGGCAAAGAGAGAATTGGTGTGAATCTCGAATTTACAGTCACAAGTCATATGTAACACTAAAAACCTTAACTTCACAACTCAATATCTTACTCATCACTCATCAGAAGTAGGTCATGTAGGTGTCAGAAATGATCAGTAACACGTGGGCTACAAGATGCACTTTAGTAATCAAAAATTGGAGCACATCTGAAAAAATTCGTAATCTCAAAAATTGGTTTTCAGCTAGTTTACAAGGAAAAAATCACCTGTATTCATCATAAGAAGTGCTGTACATCATATTATTGCGTCATTGATCACTTTTAGCTGTGAAAATTACATCATTTATTAGTAACAAAACCATTACATTGCGTCATCATAGGGTTTTTAGGGAATTTTGGGCGGATTTGATTGGTTTTGAGGCTGTTGACCATTGTAAAAGTTCTAGTACATTGTTATATATACTTTGAGAGGGTTTTGGGACTGTTGTTCCCCTTTTTTTTTCTTTATCATTTACGCCATTATTATTTTGTTTATCATCATAACTTATTTA